TTGGTGTGTGAGGATGAAATTTCTTTTTTAAAACAACAAGGTTGGGGTTTTTTATCAGTTTTTTTTTTTTTTTTTTTTTTTTTTTTGGTTTAAAGTTCAGCCCAACACAGTAAAGTCACAACATTTTGTCTGATGTTTTCCTGCAGCGAGAATCTCATACCGGCCCACGCCTAAAGAAAAAAAAATAAGATATGGTTCAAATTAACAATGTGTTGCAAAACTTCATGGAGATGCTGATGGACGTCAAAAGGATGCGTGAAAAGAAAGTGCCCAATTAAGTACAAAATTGCTATAATGCTCCTACACGTTCACAAGTTTCTACTGAGGCCATACCACAGCATGCAGTCTACCCTGCCTTGTCACTGAGAGCAGGGGGGGAGGCCATTACAGCAGCAGTGGGAGGAGAAAACTCTGACTTTATTCCATATCATTTTAGGATGAAATTTTATTTATTTATTTATGAATCGAATTAGGTTATACTCCAACATAAGGGCAAGTTTCTCTTTTTTTTTAACTTCATTGGAGATATTGCACAACACTCTGCAGCAATGGTTGGTTAAAGAGGTAAAGCACAGCATTATTCACATTGCTGAGAAATGCATGTATTTTGTAATTAAAGCCATTTTTCACCCTGATCTGGCTTCAGAGTTGCTTCCTCCCTCTCGGAGACCATGCACAGGAGCTCTTCTCTTGAAAATGAACGCCACATATATATTGTGCACTTGTCATGAAAATGTACAAAGCTATTAGTACAAGGTATTTCTTGAATACAGTGTAATGCTGTTGTTAGTGGAGTCCTTTAAGAGAGTACCAGTGATTTTTTTTTTGATTTTTTTTTTTTTTAATGTTTGTCGGAGAGCTCCTCCCCCCACTGGAAAACAAAGAAAAGAAAAAAAAAAAACTAGCCTCTGGTCATCTGTTTGATTGTATACATATATACCCATATTTTTGTCATAACAAATATACTATGGCTTTCAAAATAAAAAGTGCCAAAATATTAACTTTGTTTTTTTTCTGTTTGTTTTGGAATAAAAGAACACACAGTGATGTTGTTGTCGGTAGGACTCTCTGACTTGCGGATGCCAAGCCGCTTACAGGACATCAACAGGAAGGGAAAACGAGGCGTTCCTGCTTCCTGCAGAGATACAGGAGCTCCTGACGAAGGGAAGCTGCCCGTCACCTGGAGGAGGCGCGGCTCGGCGGAGAGGGAGGGGAGGTGGCAGAGTTCGGACGCAGGGAAACTAGAGTCTCCATGATGGTGCGACTGCAGTCACAACTTCCTGTAAACTTGTCTCTGGAGCCTGCACAGGCCGGGAGGAAGAGCGAGCGCGCGTGTGTGTTTACTGTCGCGTTCGGTGATCCTTCTTCAACACACACACACACACACACTGACTCAACAAAGGCTGCTCCTCGCCGTGCTCCCTATCTCAGAGTGCTTACAAGCAAGCGAATTCAAATTCATCCCTGCAGTTTACCGGCAGGTCGCCCCTCCAGAGTTTGAGGCTAATCCAATTTGCTTTGATAATCTTCACCATCTTCGTCTTCCTCTTCATCCTTCAGCTGTGAAAAGTCTTCAGTTTGAGGCATTCTCAAATTCCAACTATAGATTTTAGCCAGGAAAGAAGAAGAAGAAAAAAAAACAATCTTCCACAATAAACAAAGGGACAGGTAAAGAAGGAGAGGAGGAGAGGAGAGAGTAAAGAGGGAGTAATCAGACACCAGAGGGGGGGAAGGGGAAGAAAGAGGGTCGGTTCCAGGAGATCAGAGATGAGGGGAATCACGCTTGCCATCAATTTTTGTCGCTGGGCAGCTGCTGAATTGGGAGCTGGAGCTGGAGCGGGTCCCTTAGGCGCTTCAGGTCCAGCTCCACCTGGACAGAGAGGAGGAAGAGGAAAAATACAAAACACATATGATGATTATTAAGTTAAACGGGCAAAAACATCATCTTTGGAAATTGGATTTGTAAATTTCGATTCTGAAGTTTACAAATCCAATTTCAGAATGGAAAAAACATGTGTTGTGCAAATTAATCTAAAGCTAGTTAGTTAAACCTTTATTTCACCAGACAAAATATTGGGAACAATTTTTCATTTGCAATGTTAGCCTGAAGGTACTGAAACACTTAAAAAATGTAGAGAGAGGAGAACATTTACATACATACAATGAGCAACGTGTTCATTCTGTAAAACAATTACAGGACTTCTTAGAAAGATCCTTTAGTGTGTGTTAAAAGCAGAAAATGAAATCAGTGTTGAGCTGTAGTACATTGTGTGGCACAAAGAAGACTTGGTTTTAGGGATTTTCGATGTAATAAGTTAGAATAAGCATTATTCTAACTTAAGGGGACAAAGGAAAAGAAGAACAAACACTTGGAAAAAGGAAATAATGCAGAACACGAGGGTGGAAGGAAGGAAGAGCACAGGAAACAAAGGAAGTAAGGGCACGAGGGACACCAAAAGAGTGTAGGAAGGAGAGAAGGAAGAAAAAAAAAGCAAAATATGAAAGACACCATCTAAGAAACAGGGATTAAAGTTTGGAAAAACTTATATTTTTCTCGACTTTAGCAGGCCTGGGAAATACAGAAATCTCATTCCAGTCTTTACTAGATATATTAACTGTTGTAACTTCTCTACTTTGCACTGCAAATGCAGTACCTATATTTACATCCCTCATCTCTGCTTACAGTCAAAATAACACACTCTGCCTAATTTAGCAGCTGCTTGACAGCAAAAACAAATCAATCAAGATTTTCAGCGAGAGGCTAAATCCTCGTACCTCAGCGATGTCATCCTTCAGCTTGTTGTACTTCTCGATGTCGAAGCGTGTCCTCTTCACCCCCTTGTGGAAGAACAGCAGGTACTGTCTATCTCTAGCGTCAGGATAAACGTACTCCTGCAGGTTAAAGGGAGACAAAGATGGAGCACTTTGTAACAAGAACCAGTTTATCAGACGTCCTCCAGGCTCTGCTGTGAGTCCCTGGGACGGATCGCACTGAGGGAAAGACAGACTCTTTGTCCTTGGAGCTAAAAATTTGAGGAAATTTATGAAAAGTGAAAGCAGATTTCTTTACTCTATGGCAGGGGAGTCCAAACTTTTTGTCATCAAGTCAAAAGTATTCGTGTTCCAAAATTCAAATAAAATCAAGCAAATAAAGTTATTCACTGAAGATCCTAGATTTAAAAAAGACTTTGCACGTCTGCTGCATTTTAAAGAAAGGCATCTGGTTTTCAAAATGTATTATCAGTACATTACGTTCTTTCAAAACGCTTGCTATAACTAGCCAAGTTTAATAAATTTGATAAAATCTGATTTGATGCAACAAAGTCGACTTTACAGTAAAAGTTTCTGGACAGACGGGGTTCTACTTATTACAATAGTTTTGTTATAAAAAGACAAATACTTTGTGTTGTACTCAATATATTTTCATTATACAAAAATTATGTTGGCTATTATTTTACCCTGGGTAAAAATAAAGTCAACTTTGTATCATTTCTGAACTGCACAAAATCAGTCCAAAGGCCACAAATTTTGAACAACTAGTGCACCCACAATTGAAGATGCATTGCTTAATTCACCCTCTCCATATAATCTCCAGTCTTACCTGACGTGTCAGCACAAAGTAGGCATACATTGCCATCGCAGTGCCATAAGTGATGAAGTAGGTGACGGGCTCCATGATATCCCAGGAGTATTCCCACCAGGTCAGCCTGGCCAGGATGCCAAACTGCGTCGCCATGTACGCCATGCCGCCCCACAGCACCCAGGTGGTGCGGCGCTCCGCCTTCTTGCTCAGCTCCTCTCTCACCTGCACAAACAGAGCAGCATGAAGTGCACAGACAGACTTGCAGAGAGGTCAGTCACTCAGTTTACGAGATGGACTGGAGGCTTCAAACGAGTGATAAAACATAATAAAAAAATAAAAAAAAATACGCTAGCATTCATTCATGTAAATTTGTTTTCTTTCACAAATATTTCATTTTCTAATTATGTGACGGTTCATTCTGAGCACCACAAAAACTGCGCACACACTTTGGATTGGTAAAGCTGACAGACAAAATAGATTCATGATGCACTGCTGCAAGAGACTCGGAGCTGATTCAATTGATGACTAATTAGGCATTTTATAAATATTTTAGGAATCCACAGTGGAGTCTTGTCTAATTGCAGAAAATTGCTGTAAAATTATAGAGCATATCTAAAATATTTGATAGGAAATGCAGCTGGGAAAGCTGATAAACTGCAGACATTAACATCTGTGGTGATGCTAAAACGGTTTCCATTGTGTGTATTAATGCATATTCAGATATATTTGGTGTGTTAACTATTAAAGTAAGTAATTATCGGCGTTTATTAAGATCTCTGGGATTCAGGGGTCCATTTCTGCTTTCTTGCTGACATTTCAGTGATAATTACAGGGCATCTGTCTCTGAGTGGAGAGAGGAATTGTCTTGTACTCTGCAACTTGTGGGCTTGATGGACTCATGGGAAAGGCACTTAATCACAAGTCGCGACCCGACACATAGCTGTGTGTGCAGCTTGGTGAATGTGACAAAAGGTAAAGGACTTATAGTGGTTGCTATGACTAGAAAGCTGCCAAATAATTTCATTTAGTAATTAATTGTTTTTATTTGGTGGAATAACCATGAGCTTTTCAATGGGGTTCAGTGCAGTTGGCTCTTATATATATATATATATATATATATATATATATATATATATATATATATATATATATTTTTTTTTTTTAATTTGTGGCAGGACTGCAATAATTCAAACAATCCCATTAAAGAGTTTCAATGGAAAAATATTACATCATGCAACTGTTTTTTTTATTTATGTACCGGATTAAGGCTTAATTATCATGAGATTAGCTGTTTTGTTTCAGTCACACAAATTAATTATCTCATTACGATGAATGAGGAAGAGCACAGCTTAACTCAGCTCCCTCATCTCCATAGATTAACGTCATGAAACTGACCTTTCTATAACCCGCAGCGTTTTCTGGGGTCTCTAACTCTAACTGTCAAAAAGCTTTTAATGAACCTTCTCTAGGGGGCGCAGCTGAGAGTTGAGGTCCTCCAGTCGTCCAATCAGCTCCCGCTCTTTGCTGAGCTGGTGCTCCTCGATGCGCAGTGTGGTGTAGAGCTGCTGCACCAGAAACTTGACGTCATTTAGCCTCTCGGCCTCCTCGTGGGGCAGGATCTCTGCTCAAACAAATACGTAAACACGGGTTTAGTCGTGATGCAAAGACTCGACGCCATCCTTCACTCTCTGTTGGGACGAACCTCTCCTTGGTGGTCGCACAATATGAGTGGTGTCATTGATGACGAGCTTAAAGTCGTCCATCAGCAGGATGTCTATGCCAGTGGAGGAGGCGATCCTCGCTCCGTCTGGGGAAAAAAAAAAGACAAAATAGTGAGAGAAACGGCTTCGGTAAGCCTCCCCACTCTGGAAAATCAGACCTGTTGAGTCTGACTGAGAGAATAAAATATGTAGCATTTGGATGTATGGATGTCTAATATGATTTTTTAATACAAATAAATAATAAATGTATCTCTATTTTTTGAAAGAATCCAATATAAATAGGATGTTCTAGTTTACATATTTCAGTGTGTTCTTACTTGGGGTGTCAACAACTTTGTTTCTATTACAAATATGCACAAAAGTTTGTCAATGTTCTGCTAATGTCCAAATATTATTTAATTATGGCATTATTGGCCTTCCGTAATACAATTTTGCAATTGCGGTGTTTCCATCAAGTAAAAATCTCAACTAAGATCGCACGTGAATAAGCTTGTTCACATGATATCCTGACAGATAATTGTAAAAAATGTTCTCTAGTGGCAAAAAAAAATCCTTAAGAAAAACAAAACACCATCATGGACGTTTAACCCTCAACTGTGATTTATCCTGCCACTTAAGACCAACCAATTTCTAGTAACCATTTATAAACTGTGCTTGAAACAAAATGGCTTCTTTCAAACCTTCCTGGATACGAAAACCTGGAAAACTGAGATGTCTGGTTTGAGACAATGAAACATTTTCTCAAATATTTTAAAAATGTGGATTCTTACATTTCAACTTTTCAAAGTTAGGCATAGTGATTACTCTTGATCAATCACAGAGCTATGGTGTGATTAATCTGATTAATTTTTCAATTGATCGACAGCAGTGGTTCTTACCCATGGAGTAGATGGCCACACGGTCGATGCCTCTGTCCTCCGCCTGCAGCTGCTGCAGGAAAACGCCCACGCAGTCGCTCAGAGGCTTCAGGGTGAACTGGCAGCGCTCCCGCCTGGACGGCAAACTGACCGAGATCACAGGCAGACCATTCTGATACACCACGGTCACCTCTGAGAGAGCGTAACAAGGCAGGGGGGTTAGAAAAACACCACAAATACTCAGGAGAATTTACAATAAAAAAAAAAAAATCTGACAACTGACTGAACATTTGTGAACCCTTAGGAATCAGGCTTGATCAAGTGCTAAAAGTTGATTTAAAAAAAACTGACTTAAAGTCAAAAAAGTCAGAAAAAGAGATTTTAATTTAGAAAATATTAAATGCAAACTGCACCCTGGAAAAACACAAAATCTCTGTAGTTTCTAGTTTTGTTGCTTGAAATAAGACAAAATTAACTTCCAAGTAACTTTTCAGAGGGGCTTGTTTTAACGTCAATAATTCCTTAATATAGATTTTTTTGTTTATTTCTAGTTCCACTGGTGGATTTTTTCCACTTATAACATGGGGAAAATGTCGTGTTATCAGTGAAAAAAAAAAATCTTCCAGTGGATCAATATCAATATTCACTTCAAACAAGCTCCTATATTTTGTTGAAATTCCTTGCAAGTTAGTTTAGTCTTTTTGCAAATGTTTTAAGATATTTATTCCAGAAACTAGACAAAACAAAATACTCCGTAAGATAATTAGAATATGGTTTGGTGATCTGCTTTTGCTAGTTGCAGGATCACAGCCAGCTTCGCAGCGTTTGGCACCAGAGAGAAAAATGCCTCATCTTTCTAAAACAAAGATGAAATTAGATGTCGCATGTTGGTAATAGAACTAGAAATTTACTTTTGACTCTAATAGAATCTGACTGCCATCAATAATGGTGACTGATGTAAAAGCTATTTGTAATTTTCATGCTGATCTCAATAAATTACAAGCTCATTTAAAAGTCAATTTGTCTTCGTTACTCAGTTAAACAAGCAAAACTCAAATATAGATTTATTACACACTTCAAGCCTTCATTTCTTTTCATTTTGATAATTACGGCCGATAGCAAATAGAAACCGTGCTAGTCTAAGAAAATTTTAAGAAAGGAGCAATAAACACCAAAATTTCTAATCAAGACAATTAATATTAACGAAAGTTCACAAAAAAGCTTTATCCAAGGATTTTAATGGAAAGTTTAATTAAAGGAAAAAAGAAAAACTCTAGAAGATTGTCTAGCAAAGTGTATTGAAAGCTGAATTACTGAAATAACCTTTTTGTTAGTATTTCATTTCAGTTACATTTGGTCCTACAGAAACCTTTAGTATTTAATTTTGTAGTAAAGTTGAATCTACAAAAAATAAACCACATGGATGCACTGCTGATTTGTGAAAATAAGGTCTACGCTAATGAAAGCAGAGAGTTGCAGTCAGCCTCTTGACGTCAATTGGTTTTTATTCCCACAGAAAGGTTTATTTATATCTCTAGATGAGGCTCTTGTGACGATAAAAATGCCATTCAGGTACGCATAACAGCGCCGTCGCTCACAGCAGATTCTCACAGCAGCAAAAAAAAACAAAAAACAAAAAAAAACAGGAAGACAAAAGAGACTAAAACGACGTTCCCAATACACTATTTTCAAGTTAAATTATTTTGTTTCTGCGTGCTGTTAGCTTTATCTCCACATGTCGTTTTTAAACACTGCTGTAAGAACGGTTAATTTTGCCCAAACAGCTCCCCAGAAGCTCCTTCTTGCATAGTAATTATCTCTATAACACAACTCTATTGGTCCATAACCAAACTGTGGTCATAAAGAGCCAGCGCAGCTTGTACCATTATCATGCTGAATGGTCTCCAATGACAGATCCATGAATCAAGGCAGAGCCCGGTGAGGAGACGATCCGGACTGCTGCAGTGAATCAGCACTTTCTCTGCTCAATCCCCACACCGAGGTGAAGGATCATCAGCTGGCAGCTGCCTTCAGGGGGGATTCTCTCTTTTATACAGGCGCTCAAAGGAACAGACGTATAGACGTTTCATTTCACTTTATTGCAGGGGAATAGATGGGTTGCTCCTCGTTTGCACCCATTCCTTATTGTCCTCCTTTATCCTGCCATCACAGATTCGCTGTTTGAAGTGTGGAGGGAATCTTGTGCTTGTCTGTGCTCCAATCCCACAGCTATTTAAGCCCTATTTAAAATCCAATCCTCCTGTTCTACAGTGCTGCTGCCTCTTTCTTTCTTTCTGCCAACCAAAAAGGTGATTCCTGAGAGCAAAATCCACATTAATAATCCACTGGCCGCTAACTCGAAATGAGCCTCTGCAGTCTGATTAATGCATAACTTTGCTTTGGTCCGCTTCTCTTTTGTCTCGGAATGGGAAGGGAAGGCAATTAGTTGGGAGTTTTGGGAACATCATGATGTGACTCAAAGGAGGGCTTACCCTGTGGAGCAGCGGAGGAACAAAACAGTCTCTGCCCAGGCCGTGAGAGGGCGCTCTTCCAAACCTGCAGACAGGAAAGAGAGAGGAAGAACATTTTTACAATACTCTCATCTGACACGCTGATCCTGAGATTAACCAAATATGTTGCTGGACGATGTGGCCACTATTTTCCACTTTTTACTACACATGCTGTAGCTTAAATTGTTAGCTTTAATAATAATAATAATCCTATTTAAAGTTTTATTTTGTCGCAGCAGAGTCAAAAATGACTCTTTGAATGGAAAAGGTTACTGATCCCTGGGATAGAGGGATAAATTGAGAGGAATGGGTGAAATAATGAAACAATAAATGGTTAGATGGACAGAAGGAGCAACCTTCAGAAAATACTTCCCCTCCTCTCGTCTGTTTTTCTATACCTAGTATATACAGATATTATAAAACTGACTGAATTAAATTCCAGACTGCATAAACTCTGTTAATATATTACTCTAACTATCCATCCATCTGGTTTTATTTTACAAAACAGCATCCAGTTTGTGCAAACCAGAGCCCCACCCAAGGAAGGAAGATTAATGGACGCATCTGCAGCTTCGTTTTCACACAAATAATGTACAGTCATGCATAATGAAACAAAATACAGCTAAGCTCCTGGCATCTCATGTAATTACTCCAGTAGAAATAGCCACTCCCAAAAAAAGAAAGAAAGAAAAAAAGAAACGGAAAGCAAGGCCGCTAAAATGCAGCCTGAATAACAAGAAGTCATGAATTCTGCGTCTTTGTTGCAAATTGGAGAGAAAGATGAAAACATGAGGGGATGGCGAGAAAGTCCCTGTTGTCTTTTGTGCACAACCTGATGTGATCTTCCTCACAAACGGTGCTGCAGCTGTTTTAAATTAAAAGCACCCCGTCACAAATTTAGGTGTAAAACCCTGGGTGAGACGCGACTGTCACGACTCCTAATTTCTAAAAAATTATGCCACAGAAGTGTCTCGCAATAAAATCAAAGAAGCAAAAGAGCTCCGGGGAAGCAAAATCTCCCTGATTAAAGTCATGCACACATATGTTTCCCTGTCAAACTGTTGTTTATGATTAGCACCGTTCGCTAACCTACCATTTAAGGAAGACAAAGCACATCTTTAACGCAGTGCTTCCAAGCAGATTTCCATCTCACTCACTGTGTGTACATACAGCGTCTCCAACAGCAGGCTAACTGTGTTTTAATATTAGATTTACAACATGCATGCAGTCCCTGGTGGAGGTGAACCACAGCAGCAGACATTTAGGGCTCTCAGCCCTTCACCTTTACGACCACAAAGAGTAAAAATATCTCGGAGCAGAGCGGCGTATTTGTGTGCGAGCTCTCACAGCAAACAGCAGTCGGGGAGAGATCCTGCAGTGGGATAACCGGTAAACCCAGCATCCACCCGAAACACGCAGCCAATCCAGAAACTGTTTACGCTCCCAGGCATCTTTCCTGTTTCGCTGCACGGCGGGAATTACACAGACGTCTCTGAGTCCTACGAAGTGTAGAACTTTTGAAGATCCAAAATGATTTCATTGCCAAAAAATGGATTTTTATTTTTTATTTTTTTTGTAAAATGTGTACTCATTGTTAGTTTGCGAGATAAAGTAGCCTCTCTGCTACATTGAAACTCATGTTTCCTCAGTGTTTTTCCTTCAAATAACCTGACTCATAATTCTTTTAATGTTAATAATCTTCTTGAAGATGTATAGACATGGAAATATGAGAGGTTTTGTTCATTTTTAAGATTTCAAACATTTCTGCAGATGGGTTTCCAGAAACATCTGTAATTTCTATACCCATTTTCACAAAAGTAGCAATAAACCACTTCACAATACACCTCTGGGAAAAAAAAATTAAGAGACCACTTAAAATAATCAGTTTCTCTGATTTTAATTTCTATTGGTATATGTTTGAGTAAAACGAACATTGTTATTTTATTCTGTGAACTACTGACAACATGTCTCTGAAAAGCCAAGCAAATATTTAGTTTTTATTTGCATAAAATGAGAAATGGTCAAAATAACGAAAAAAAGCAGTGATTTCAGACCTCAAATAATGCAAAGAAAGCAAGTTCATGTTCATTTAGAAACAACAATACTAATATTTTAACCCAGGAAGAGTTCAGAAATCAACATTTGGTTTTAGAACAAGGAGCTTCTCAATGGGCTTCAGTGCAGTGGGCTCTTATTTTTTTTCCAGAGTTGTGGCTGAACATTTTGTAGCGGTCAGGGTGTAAATATGAAGGGCGGCTTAAAACATTATTGTGACAACTATAAATTAAATTATAAGACATGTATCGTGATAAACAACATGATAAACGCCCACCCCCACTTGACTGGTGACCAGTCCACACATCGTTAATCTGAATGGACAAAGCCAGCGCTGACAAGTCACTAAATTACAGGTGAGTATTAGATTACAACAGACTAACTGCTGTCAAAACGTCACTCATTCAACACATCAGTACTGTCCAGTCTTTACTCTCCCTCTTGAAAAGAATAAAGAAGACCCTCCACATTTGTGAAAGCAATTGCCAGCACACCACAGAGGCTCCTGTGTGTTGGTATTGTAAATGAGAATACCCATTGCCATCCCACGGCACCAAGTGGAGCCCAAACAGTGATTAGGCTGCTGATCGAATGACATGCTGAGAAATTGCTTTTGGCCAGTCTGGAATAACAGCACCATCTGCAGAGAGCCGTCCAGCTCTGCTTTCCTCGTTCATTAGCTTCTCCTGTTTGAAGATTTCGCAGTCAAACCTCCCACGCAGCCCCGACTCGCCACAGAAACATGAAAATCGCACGCAAATGCGGCCCGGCTGGGTGTCTGCGCAGTGACATGTAGCCGTGCGCGAGTGCAGCTGGCGCGGAAGCACACTTGTGTGCCCGCCCGTCTGCTCGCCGGGCTGTTTTGTCAGTTGAGGCTGGGGAGCGGCTGAGCAGGACCTCACCCCCCCTCACCCCTCCCTCAGACATGCAGCCACTGAAACGCAGCCTGAAATATTTAACAGTGAGGCAGCAGTCAACAGCACAGCAGCCTTGGAATCAATCTCTCACTGCCGAGCGTTCGGCGGCGAAACAAAGAAGCAGCCTTCAGTGGAGGTGATGGGGGGATGAGCTGGAGAAGAGAAAAGAGGCGAGGAAGGACAGGAGGAGGAAAGTGTGAGGATAAATGGAGGACGGAGTAGAGGGGTGTGAGTCACGAGTGTGCTTACGCTTCTAACCATGTGCTGCTCATACTGTACCCTGCAGCACACAATCCCTCCTCTCTGAAACGTGACTCCGCTTTGTGTAATAGAAGAGAGGGGGATGAGGAACTGGAGGGAAGGAGAGAAGGAGGCGGAGGGAGAGATGGAGAGGCTGCTGATCACTGCAGCAAAGGAATCCCTCGCCTTTCAAAGGGGGGGTTGCCCCTCAAATTCACCCTCCCTTCCCCGCATCCCAGACTAACTCGCACTGAATCCTGATGTTCCCTTTACTGCTCCTCCATCATATCTCATCTGCATTGCGCTTCACCGGGGCTCTCACTTATATCGGATCACTTTCCTCAGTTTACAATAATAAACTCCCGTATAAAATCAACAAACAAGCCCATCACATTGTGCTTCAGAAACAGGAAGAAGATGGTGATCAAAACGGTTCTCGTGTTAGCGAGAGACGAACCAGAGACATGACAGCGCTCTGCAGCGAGGATCAATGCCCTTTTCATTCACCACCAAGTGCCATTATGCTGCGGACAGACGGAGAAACGCTGCTGACACGCAGCCTTGCAGAGAGAAAGAGCTGCAGCTCGGTGTGTTTACAAGACCTCCCCTACTGTATGTGTAACCGTTTCCATTTGTCGAGTGGATTCGCAGCAACATAATCACATTCTTGTTCTCATTTTAGTTGTGATTATGCATGTGGGGATATATGCAAGATTTATTAGTTTCCTCCTCCTCCTCCTCCGGCGCGGTCGTACTCAAAACAACAAAACACTGTTAGCAGCAGATTTGAGGAAAATGAATAAAACTGGGTTATTTATATGATGCTTTCTTATGCGATAGCTTTGCACTGAAAGGCTGCAAAGTCAGGTCAGGGTTTTGATTGGACAATATTAGCACAATAAAGGACACATCACCCCAGTTGAAAAGTCCTTACACCAGGTCCTTGCAGACTTTAAAATATTTTTGGTACTTTATAAATCACTCAATGACCAAAATTACAATACTCAACAATAAAGATCTGCTGCTGTTGCATCAACCTTCCAGATCTCCTAGGTCTTCTGGTTCTGGTTCTGCTCTGCATCACCAGAACCAGAACCAAACACGGAGAAGCAGCATTCAGCTTCTATGCAAAACAGCCTAAACACTGATTTCCTTTAAATCCAGACTAAAACCCCACCTGTTTAGAGTTGCTTGAGATAAGTAGGCAGCCAAACATTGGTCAACATATTTGTTATGTTTATGATTTTTGTGATGGTATTTGATTTCTATCCAGCAGGGATTGTATCCTGCACGCAAACCCACTGGTTAATAATAGGCGAGTTGTTCTCACACTTATTGTTGACTATTGTTCTTTGCTTGAGTCGTATCACTTGATCAAACCTTTTCTAACTTAAAACATCATAAAATAAGAAATAAAATTAAGCATAATATGCTCATAATATGTTGATATTGTACAGGGTCTATATCTGTATCAACCAGTATTTAAAGCTGCAATATTGATATTGTATTGGAAGTGAAATATTTGTATTGGAAGACAACCCTAGTTTGTATTTATGTGTTGTTGCCCAGTTGGAAGGGCCCATCTGTCTCTCACAGAATTTTACAAAAATTTGGTCCAACATTAATATTCATATCAACTTTAATACTGATGTATTGAACTAAGCTGAGATATTTACAGCTTGGAAAAGACCCGATCCTGCTTTAGACCTTTAAGCAGAGCCCCACGTTGACACCAGTAAACTGATAAATTCATGCAGCTGTTTGGATTTTGCATCCCTAGCAACAAGATGATTTTATTTGGGAGCGTAGTGATTTTTAAGGTCTTTAAGGGTTG